TAATTTCTCATTTTGGATTCATAATTATAGTTGTGTCTTTATTTATGATGTTTTTCCCCAAAATTATGACTAAGAAGGCTTTCACTTTTGATTAAATGAAAGAGCATATATATGTAACCATAACTTATTAAGCTTCATCATATACATGTTTCAAAAAGAGTTGAGAACTATTAAAGAAGTTCTATTGAAATCAAATGTGGATTATAGCATGAGACTATAAATAGTGAGGTCAAATTTATAATAATAAAAATATATATATTAATTTTGACTGATCTTCGAAAGGCTATAATATTCTATAATGCAAGTTAATTTTTAAAAAGGGTGCGATCTAGACGAAAAAGCTCGAAGGATTTATAATACTAGTCCAAAAAGGCAAGGTGTTGAAATTGGTAAAATCGTCGAAATCAAGTGCCTAAAATATGGATTCCGATTATGTTAATAAGTATCGATGAAATTCAAAATCTATAATGGTACTCTGGCCAACACTCCAATTGACCCGGCGTGAAATTTATGTAAACTTGATGGTATGTTTGGTTACTACACTACAAAAAAATAATTTATTTGTAACGGAATTCTGTCCTTAAAGTTCACGTAGCTAACGTAATTTCATTCCTAATTTCGTCTCTAATGGCATTAGTAACGGAAAAAGTAGATAAAGAGACAAAAAAGTTTTGTTACAAAAATGATTTTTTCTTGTAGTGCTATTTCACTATAGGTTGGTACTATGTTTCCAACTTTTTTTTTCTAAAATATTGCATTATATGTAACCTACTCAAAATCTATTCAAAATTTTCTATTTCTATGTCTCTCCTCAAATAACCAACTTTTTATTTATTTATGAAATTAATTTATATAAAATTATATTCTTTACAAAATAATTTTCATATTGTTTTTTTAATTAAAATTTAGTCATTAAATTAATTAAATACATAATTTAATTTTTTTAATCTTATATATTACACCATCAATCAAATATTAATTAAATAAATTACTTCAAAAAACCCAACTTCCAACTCAAATACTCAACTCAAATATATCCCAACACACACGATGTGTATATATACAATATATACACATACGTGTATGCACACACACAGTGTGTGTGGATAAGAAGATAGAAAGTATTTACTGTAAAAAACAGTGACAATTGTGTAATAATAATAGAAAAGTAAGGGTAGTTTTATAGTAATATGATTATTCATGAAAATGAGATTATTATTTTGAGACGGAATAAAATGGTAAATATAACTATTGTATTAGGACGGAGAGAGTATTAACGAGACAGATTATCTAATCCAGTGTTAATGTTATCACGTGGAGTTACGTCGAGGTAGGAGGATACATCACCGACATAATGTCGGCTGCATGCAATAAAATATATCACGCACGTTCTTCCTTCTATTCCATGCAAATTTCATTTCATTTCATTTCATTAATTAATTAACTACCCGAATTGGGCGGCCAAAGTTGCCGACTTTGCTATTTCATCCACAAGCACCCCTTCAGTTTTATTTATTTATTATTTTTTTTTTTTTTACCAAAAGCTAAAAAATAAATAAAAAATTAAAAAATTGGGCATCAATGATCTGTCGCACGTGGATGATGATCTGTCACACGTTCGAAGATCTTCGTGCAGCTTTTGTAAAGCCAACACCCAAGCTGCACGAAGAAATCTATATATATATAAGATACTCAAACAGGTTATTCAAAGATTAGTATTAGTTGAATAATTTCTTTATTTATATTTTTGTTTTATTTCATTTTAAAGAAAAATAGAATTAAATATGGAATTACACGTGACATTTTGCGAAAGCAGCCACATGCGAAATGTTTCTGCCGGGTGTGTTTGTTTGAAGGATTTTGGTGGATTTCCACTATTCATCTAATTTTTTTCCTCCAAAAACATCAAATCAAACACCTATTTTTTATTTTTTATATTATACTAAAAATCAATTTTACATTCAAAACATCACATCAAACCCTATTTATATCACATCATACAACTATTCAAATTCAAAATTTTTACTATTCAAATCCCAACTCAAAATCCAAACCCCCAAACAAACACACCCCTAAAAAATGATGTTGCTGCTCCATATTTGGAGATTTATCTCTCCAACTCAACTTCATATCCAATACCATTTTTTGTGTTTGTTACAGTGCAACACTAGCAACGTCAATTTTGGTGTTTTTTACCCTTTTTTTTTTTTTTTTTTGTATATATTGTATTTTTTTAATATAAAAAATTGTTTAAAATAATATATAAAATAGAATATTTAGAAAATATTCTTTTGAAGTTGAAAATAGAATTGTGGATTGGACTTACTGTAGCAACTACATTTTTAGAGTTATCCGATTGGAAATGGCCTAAGGAGAGCTGAGATTGCTTGTCAGTCATGTTTGTTTTACTTGGATGAGTAATTTTGAATCCCAAGAGCGCGAATTTTGGTTTTAATTTGTCGTTTTGCGTATGTAAGACAATAATGAGAATACAATAAATTAAGATAAATATACCGAGTATAATATACTTCCTCTATTTCAAAATATTATTTTATTATTTTATTTTTGTCGATTTCAAAGTAACTGTACAATTTCATAAATAATCATATTATTGTAAAATTATTTTTATTTTTTTTATTATTATTATACAAATATTATTATTTTTTATACAAATATATTCACAAGTATATTTTTGTCATTTAATACTTAGTTTATACCTCGATATAATATTATTATTTCTTAAATCATATTTTGAATTCAAATAGGACTATTATTTCAGAACATATGAGTATATATATATACAGACAGAAAAATAATATTTTTTTCGTCTTAATTCAACGCATTTGATTAATGAGATAATAGAATTCATATGTTAATGATAGTAAAATTTTAAATAATACAAATAAATAAAAAATTATTTATAATTAATTAATATAAACTAATTTTATTTTTTTAAAAAAAAAATTAAGAATTTGAAATATAAATAAAAGTATTTATTTATTGAATATGGATAAAAATAATAAAATAAAAAAATTGAATGGATTCTAAATATTATATATTATAAAGTTAATTAAATTAATTTATATTATTAATAAATTTTATAGTTATATACTTTATAAAATTTATTTTCTACAAAAATGATACTAATGTTAATATACTTTTATTCGATAAAATTTCAATTAAATATAATAAATTAATCATAAATTTAATTTTTTAATTATCTTATAATTTATTCAATAAATTACAAAAGTAATAAAAATCTAATTACTAAATTTGTAATTGAAATTTAGAGGAGAGAGAATTTAAATTTTTGTTAAATAGATTTCTTTAGTATAGGTATAAAATTAAATAAATTTCTCTATTTATATGAAAGACTAAGAAAGAAATGAAAAAAAATAATAATAATAAGTACAAATCCAAATCAAAGATTTGAAAAATTAATTTACATTCTATAAGTTTTACATGAACTCCACGAATATAAGACAATTTTGAGGAAGTTTAAAAAAAAAAATTCATGTGAACTTGGTTCGAGGCAAACAATATCATATTAGTGTTTAAGTGGTTCAGTCCTAACAATTGGTATTAGTTTTGATTTGAAAAAGTTCGTTGGTGGAGTGGGCTGGATAGCAGCATCGGGCACTGCTACCTCATGATTAGAATCTGCGGTAGTGTCGTATGTCAAAAATCTTCATGGCATTGTGATGATCGATTGGCGGTCCACTAAAGTATAATCAGACAGCAGGTCCCTTTGTGAGAAGTGGTGCAAATATGAACGGATTGAAATATCATTGGAGAGGAGGCAACATCGGACATTGATTGTGGTTGGGCATATTGGAATATCATGAAGGATTGATCTCGTAATTGGAACATGCGATAGTTTTTGTCTTATGCCGAAAGTCTCCTTATTGTTGTTATGATCGGTTGGCAGTTCCCGCATGTGTAGTCAAACAGTGGATCCTATTGTGAAATACAGTGCTAGATGGGGAATCTGAATATCATTGAATAAGTGGTTCATGCCCATGGATTACATGGTCCTTGGTTTGAGGATGTCCCCTTTGTGAAAGATGGTGCAAAATGGACGGATTGGAATACCACGGAATGGGAGACCCATGCCATAGGTTACACGGTCTTTGATTTTAAGAAATTATTGTTATAGTGCAAATTCAAATTTGACATTGAAATATTTAAAAAAGAATCATTGAAATATTTAAAAAAGAATTTAACGTCGTTATAAATCTTACATAAATTCCACTAATATGAAGTGAAATTCAAAAATAAATCCATATAAATATTCAATAGTAATAATATCATACTAATATTGAATTAGTCTAATAAATCCATATTGACTCTGACGATACGATAGTCTTATTTAATTATATATATATATCAAAAGTTTCTCACCACTTTCACATCATTATTTTACTTTTCCACCTCAACAAAAAATTCCATATATACTTATATTTATATAAACATAATTTGTTTAAAAATTAAATTTAAACAGAAATATATTATATATCATTTTATAGAATTTTATTTTTTAAGTTGCGCTAACCCCAAAATTCATTTTATTTTTTTTAAACCCTGAGAAATGCCACAAAATAGGCCACGTAAGAGAGAGAAAGTACCGTTGCGCTAACCTTAAGTTGCTATTGTGGTCCACGTGGCAGAATGAGGAACGTGGGGTGAGCTGTACACGATAACGGCACCTGATTCGGCTTAAAAGAGAACAAAAACACGAAATAAAAACCTGTCCTCAGCTTTCCAACGTCTCTCTCTGCACTAACTAATCAGCGCCCGCCACGTGTCTCAATCACACACAACCTGTAGCCCCTATAAATATGATCAACCCTTATTTCTCCTCCATCTACACTACGCTTATCTTGAGAAATATTTTCGACACAGTTACATTTAATTTTGCAGTAAACTCACTCCATCAAAATTATACATATAATAATTATCAGTTTCTTGCTCTTGGAATCAAATGGCACAAGGGACAGCAAACTGCATTGATATTCTTGTGGCGATTCTGCTGCCTCCTCTGGGAGTCTTCCTCAAGTTTGCCTGTGGGGTGAGTCACTAATTATTTATATTCCTATAAAATTAATAGACAACAAATCTGTTTCATTTTTTTTTTTTTTTTTTTTGAAGTGGATTGGTTCAATCTAATTTGGTGATTAGTTAATTAATTAATTTTGATGCAGGTGGAGTTTTGGATATGCTTGTTGTTGACACTGTTTGGTTACATTCCTGGAATTATCTATGCTATCTATGCTATCACCAAGTAGGGTTTTCTCCTATCATATATATATACATTTACATACAGTTACATTTGTTTGGATTTTGGGCCATTGGTTGATTGATTGAATGTTTCTGCATCTTTTGCAGGTGAAATGTGAAGGGCATAAATGTCATTTTAGTGTGATGGGTTGATAATTATCTTGAGTTCGGGGATCCCTTTTGCTGTCATTTTACTTCTTTTCTTGTTTTTTTGTTTTAACACATTTTATTTGATGGGCTCCTCCTGCATTGCATTACTGTAAGTTGTGATCAAAAGTGGTGTGTATTAGCTTCTTTTATTCAGATAAAAGGGAAAAAAAAAAAAACTCTTTGGATCATATTAATACAGTATATCCACGTTACTGAGCATGATGAACATACAATCATATATAATACTTCCCCCCGTCATTCAATTGTGTGTTCATTTGATCGGGTTTTAAGAAAAATATGTAAAAATAGAAATTTTTATTTTTTTATTTAAAAAAAAAAAAGTGGTATTTTTTTACTAAAAAAATAAACGGAAATAAATTTGGATGACGACGAAAAAAAAGAAAGTGAGAATAGACTTGAATGACGGAGATAGTAAATAGTTTTATATAATAACTAAGGAGTAATTAATTAATTAAACATGTCATACAATAATGAGATCAAGATCTAAGGCCTACAGTTAGACCATCTTCGACCTATCTAAGTTTGCATAATTTGGAATATATTTTCCATTTTTCCAGAGTCTTCTAGTTATTTATTTTCAATTATACCCTCTCTTTTTGCAAGATCAAATAATATTCTATATATATTTTATTTGATTTGATTTGATTTTATATATTATTATATGAATTTTTTAAATTTATAAAAAGACATTAATATTTAATATAGATATTAATTATAAAATTAAAATATAATATATAAAAAAATAAAGATATTGACAAAAAATAAAATAAACAGAGGTAAAAATATAATTTATACATATATTTAAATTAATAATTCTTAAAAATTAAAATAAAAAATAATATAAAAAAAAAAAAAAAACACATCCTCTCTCTCGAGAGGGTGGATTGGAGATAAATTAAAGACACTCAAGAACACATTAAAAAAGCAATGACCATATATATATATATATATATATGCATTCTAGTTTTTATAGATAAGTTTCAATCATATCAATTGATTTTGTAGGGTCGGTAAAAATAGGCACAGCCCAATAATTTGACCCGAACTTGACACCAAAAAAAATAAAAAAAATTCGTCTTTGAGCCTAAAAAAACAGGCATGGAAAAATTCGGATCATGCCTGACCCGGCAGAGTATGAAACGGGCCTTGCCCAGGCCTTTGAATGTCGGGCCATGCCCAGCCCGGACCGAATTTTAGATTAAATATAATTTTAAAAAATAAATTTACAAATATATAAACAAATGATTTTGTGTTGAAAGTAAAGGTGTAGTTTAATGGTTTTGTTTATGAGTTCAATTCTCACATTTAATATATAAAATTATTTTATAATTAAGACAAATAAAAAATAAAAAAATATAATGGGCCAGCCCGACACAGTCTGATTTAAAATCGGACCGTTCGTATCTAACTAGCCCAAAATATTTCTCCCATTACTAAATTTTTCATTCAACCCACGGTCACATTGTATGGACCTTACCATTCATGTTAAATATTTATTTTTATCATTTAAAAATTTACATAATTTATTATTGTTATATTATTAGTTTAATTAATTCTATCATAATTTTTTTAAGTTTTATTTTGATAATATAAAACATTTAAAATATCTAAAAATAAATAAATATAATTATTAAGCAAAAAGTCTAAAATATCTAATTTGATATGTTATAATTTTAAAATTAGAAATTTTAAAAATTTTAACATTGTAACAGTTAGTTTGATGTGTAAATAAAAAAATTAAATATATTTACAACTTCAAATTTATTAAAAAAAAGTAGAATAATTATAATATTTTTTTAGAAAATAAAATATAACAACTTAAATATTGCAACAATTATAACAATTTTCTAAATCAACGTAAATATTACAATAATCATAAGAATATGAGAAAAAATAAAAATTTACAACAATGAAAATAATATATTAATAAAAACTGTATTTCTCTTTAATTTTCTCAATGCTACCATTTTTATATTCATTTTAACGGTATTTTTTTTTGTTAAAAATTCACAAATTCTTACTAAGTTAAGTTTCTCAAGCTCATATTTTATATTATCCCTAATCTCTATATTTTTTATTGTTTCGATACGAATATTTTCAACAACATTATTTGATATCACATCTTTCATCTTAGTTTTTTCTTTTCTTTTTTTTGTCTTTTGACCCATTAAACGAACTTTCACCTCACTATTATTTAAGTCGAAACTTTCATTCATAGTAGGTGAAGATGTGTAATATCTACAGTTATTCGTTCTTATCTTCTTAAAAGGACATTGCACAGATATCATTATCTCTCACTTTGGATTGTCTTTTACAATCACCCACATATGTTCATACGTAAAATGTTGATTCATACTTTGGTGATACAAAATAGGAGCTCGTTCACTTCATCCACATTCCATCCACTATGATGTTCGGCTACCGACCTATTATAATGTTGGTTGAATTCATTTATCTGTTGACTTATCCAATGGCAATGAGCTTTTGTTGCCTTATATTTTCTATTAGGGCTTTTTCTTTTTATTCTTATTAAAATATTTAGCGACTCATTTTCAAAACATCAGCTCTATTTACGAGTTATCTATTATATTGAAATCGGAGATGTTAAGCCATGCTCTTGCAAGGATCTCCTCGTCTTGCATACTCTACTTCACGCTTCGTGATTCATCGATTGCAATTATTGCTTCATTCAAGAAATATCTTTGATGTCCCACTATTTTGAATAAGTTGGAATTTGTGTGGCTAGCGTAGAAAATAAATGTGTTTGCTGTAGAAACTGTGGTATGTTTTGAAAATTTTGAGTAGCAATTTGAAAATGTGGTTGGGACATTAAAAAATTTCAGAAAGAGATTTCGAAGGTTTGAAAGTATTGTAGATTGAAAATTTTGTGCAAGAATAAAATCAGAAAATTTGGAGGACAAACATGATTTTACAAGCTATGATTACATTATATGCAAAATTTGGCACTTCGTATGACGAAAAGGAAGAATTTCCAAATTTCGGAAGATTAAAAATATTTTTTCAATTTTTATTTTGGATCATGGTATTTTAAAAACTTTGAAGATATTAGAATTGGGAAGAGATTTGAGAGAAATTTATGGAAAAAATGTGGAGATATGTGAGAGATGAAGAAGTATCAAAATAGAAAACATATATATCATTTTGTTCACTTTGCATATTTGGATTGATTTATTTTTATATTAGATATGAAAAAATTATGTAATATAAAAAATAATATTTTTTATTAAATTGTTGACTTTTTGTCGATGAGTAAAAAATATATATTATATATATATATTATGTTGATATGTATATATTTGTATTTTTTCTAATAACATTTATGAGAAATTATTTCACTTCAAAATAATAGTAAGTAAACACACAAATTTTTTTAGATATATTTCTGAAATTTTAATAAATTTAATAGTAATTGGTAAAATCTTTAACGGCTATATAGCCTTTACAAAGTACTGATTTGATATTTGAAAAGTAATTAAAAAAATATTTAAATATATTATAAAAAATAATAATGACAATATAACCATTGAAATTTATTTTTTTTATATTTAAATATATCGATTAAATATAAGGTGGAGTATCAGACTTCACCATACCCTTGGAGTGGCTCTTATACATAATTCATTTACAATGAATTATTTTATTTACTTATAATTTTATTATTTTTATTTTAGTGAATAATAGTTACATTATCACTATTTTGCCTACTTACTTATTATCTTATCAATATTTTTAATAAAAATTTTATAATAACATCAATTATTTTTATACCTATTATATTTTAATACTAAAATCATTGTATTTTTAATTTTCATATCTAACAAAACCTACATAATAATTAAATTGAGCCAATTTTCTGATGTTGCTAGAAGATTTTATTAATATTTTTGCACCATCATTTTCCAAGATTCAACTTATTTTTTTTGGTTTGAAAACTTTCAGGAACTTGTATTAATTGTTCTTTATTTTCTCTCTCTCTCTCTAATACGTGGTATCATATTAGTTGTTAGCTATTAAATTAGCCGATAACAATTAGCTGATTTAATTAGCTGGTTTGACGAACTGATTTGATTAGTTGTTTATATTAAAATGTTTGGTAAAACAACTGTGTTGTTTATACGTAAAATGACAATTGAGGACATTTTTATTTTATTTTTTTTTCTAATATATTCAATTGTATTATTTTGAATTTAGAATGTTTGAATTTTTTTTGTTATTAGTTATTGAAATTTATAAAAGTGTCATAAAATAGTATTTATTTATATTATAGTTAGATTTAAAAAACAATATATTTTTATTGAAAAATATAAATAATTTTTTCTATTGAAAATGATGTAAATTATTAAATAATAAATTTTCCGTGTATATATTTATTATGTTAATTATCGATTAGTTCATTATATTTATAATTTTCAATAAATTTAAGTTAATTTTAGTATAAAAATTATATAATGTAATTTTAATATAAAAATAAATTATTAATATTTATATTTTCTATTTTGTGTTGATTTTAATAATTTTATATATTTTACAATTAAAATAATTTATATATAAAAATTAATTATTTTAAATTTATAAAAGTAAAAATAATATAATAAAATATTCTAATATATTTAATAATAATCAAAATATATTTATTTGTGTAAAATGCATAATAATTTTTAAGGACAACTAAGAAATAAAAAATTTAAACTGAATAAGCTATTTCAAAACGATGGGTAGGTTAATTTTTTATAAATTAGCTTTTTTGGTCCAAAAAATTTACCAAATACCTAAATTAGTTATTTGACTGATCAAATAGCTAAAAAAGCTATTTTAAAAGTTATTTGCCAAACACCCTCTGCATAAAAAATTCACCAAAATTTCTTAGACTTTTGGCTAACATTGTAGAATTATAAATAAAGTTCTTAATGTCGAAGTTCTTAATGTTTTATATGTCATATCAGGGTAAATTATATAGCACACCATGTATTTTAGTAAAAATTGCATAAAATACTCTATATTTTATTTATTGTGTGAAATCCTTTTGTGTTATTGTAAAGTTTGAACGAAACACTCTCCTTAACCAAAACTGATATTTGGCTCTAAATAAAGACCTAAATTAAGCAAGTTTTGTACAAATAAAAAACGTAAAATATCTTAAATAATG